TTTTAAGTATGTTCGTAAAGAATGCTTTGTGAAATTTTTGTGTCTTTGGGCTTGCATTTATCTTTTCAGCATTGTTTTAATTTAAATAATGATTATGCAACAGGCGAACACTTGAAAGTTATAATGCTTGATTATACAAAGCATAGTATACATAGTATACAAAGCATATCAAAGCACGGCTTGATTAATTCCTACATTCTCTTTTTAGAGCTGATTATTTAAAAAAATGAGAGTGCTAACAACTTAGGAAGAGAAGCACTTATTTTATCACAGTTATCACAGATTCATGGAACAATATATCAAATAGATTTCGATAACGTCAGTAATATGTGTGGTAAGAACATTATTATTTACTAAATAACCCACATACACGCAGGTCTTTAGTTATAAAAATAAATTATTAAGAAAACAATATGTATATTTTTTAGCCAATACATTATTTTCAGAGAAGGTTTCTAAAAATTATTGCAAAACACCATTTTGAAATAGGCAACTATGAGAATGATCTCAGAGTAAACAGAATTCCTATAGATATCATTTTTATAACTAGAAAACATTTAGTTAGGCGAATGTATTTTTTCCTATCCATTAGGAAGAACCATCTTGGCTTTAAGATTCTTGATTTACCCAATTCCTCTTTTCTCACTTAACATGCTGAAAATAATTTTGGTTTCCTTTTGCAGGATAAGTTAAAAATGCCTCCTTATACTCTAAACTTTATACCTACTACCAAAAAAATGAGATGTGGCTATAGAACTAAACCAGCCAAACTAGTTACAGTGCTTTCAGCATGATTTTATACTATATCATCTCAAAAAGACTCATGAATCTCTTGTCCAAATATCAGTTAATACATGTACAAGGCCAGAACTATTCATTTCCTAGCATATTAAAGGATGAAATAAGTCTGGAGAATATGAATTGAATTAAAGAATAAACTAAGAATAATTATGTGCAATTCCAAGTTGCGCTGTTTTTCATCAAAATTCAGTTGTTGAATACATTTCAATCACTTGTTAATGCTGCATGGAATAGTTAACTCTATAAAAACTTCATTCTCACACTGTGAAGACAAAGGTTTTTTTGGTTCAGAAACATATAAAATTTATATAGTCTTAATTTATAAGAAATAAAGTGCTTAGCCTTAAAAAACATTCATAAAGAACCAAACTCTGTGTTAACAGGAAGATAAACAATGTTCTTTTATTTGCTCCTCCACTGGCCTCCAGTAATGAAAACCAGAAGTTGTAGAAGTTCAAATAAAGGCAGAAAGGTCAAATTCAGACAGAAAATAGGTCATTTCATAAACGTAAGGGACTATGTTATTTTTCAAGTCTGTGTTCCACGCTTAGGACAGCCTCAATGAGCAAATGCAGATTTATATTGCCAGGAAACATGTGGCTTGTGTCCTGCTCTCCCAGGAAAGACCCTAAGGTCATGTGTATAGCAGACAGGCAGTCAGAATGTGGCATAGAACTGTGACAGTTAACACAAGCCAGAGCAAAGCCGCCACACGGTGGGTGTCCTATTTTACCAATGTTTTAGTCTCTATGAAACAAACATGAACATTATTCAATAAAGACTCTATTACATCGACTAGAAATCAGAGCTACCAGTTTTACAACAAATTTTTCTCTTTGCGTGTACCTGGATCTATTTTTTTTCCCTTTCAATGTCAGAGCCATTTTTCCACTATTCATACAAAAGCACCCCAAACACGGATGGAGTCTGGCACAAATGCAGTGAACATAGCTTGGGGCATATACCGTATTTTTAGTCGACCTCCATTTAGCCAATATTATTTTTGCCTAATAGTCATCAAAGAGTCTTAGGCAATGAGAGAAGATGAGCATTTATTTTTCTTTTGATTTCTCCTAGTGATCTGTCTATCTCATCAAGGGAGGAGCATAATGAGAGTGTTTGCCTTTATAGAGTGTACATCAACTATTCCTGATTAGAGCTAATCCAAGGCTTAATTTTAAGTCTACTTCAGTATTGATAGTTTCAAAATATGAGCAGAATTTGAGTAAAGCTGACAGATTAATTGACCTCTGAGGAGCATAAAAATCTACCCACCTCTTGTTGCTATTCCTGTTCCAAGGACACAGCTGATAAGAATAAGAGATTTATGTGTGTTCTCTGTCCCCGAATACTTTAATCACTGAAGCTTCATAATCCCAGCATTATTCCCTTTCTCTGTAATGATTTGGGGATGGCCTTCATTTTGACATGAAAGTGATATCATAGAAGTACAAAAGAGGGGGTGAAATCAATAAAACTCATATGGAGCCACTGGTTTTAATTTGTGCACACTGCTGTTTGAGTCTGTGAGGCTGAGGCCTCCATCATTATAAAGAAGGGAAAATGGATTCAGGGAAAAGAACAGATTTATAGTCATATAAAGAGCGTCCTTTAAGAGAAAAAAACACGATTTACTGGATCTTCTAAATAAGCAAACACAGAAAACAAATAGGCCCGCGAACAAAGCCAAAGGAATAGAAGACACTCATCTCTTGTATGTATATGGGGGGATTGAATCCAGGACCACCCATTTCTACCCACATCACATTTACTGAAGTCTCGCTGTCAGCCCCCAAAACTGGGCTCTTTGTACAAGCGGGTTTTATAACTTGCAGTACGGCATTTAGCATCTGCATTTGGTTGAAATACCTGCCTGTAAGTGGACCCATGCAGTTCAAAACCCAAGTTGATCAAAGCTCAACTGTATTTATTGGAGTTATCCATTTTCTTCTCTCAGTCAAAAGGCTATGTTCTAGTTGGATAGCTATAGAGCAACACAACAAAACCAAGGAAAAGTAATTCAGTCCAAGTATATTCAAGGGTTACAGACGTGCAATTGTGGTGAATTTGAAAAATGTATTTTTTTTCAGGTGTAGTATCAAGAAAGCAAGATCACTGTTCTTTATGATCACCACAGTTAATTTGACTTTGTTGAATCTTTCACCAGAGGCCACATATCAGGCACATTTTATTAATCGAAAGTAATGGCATTTGACGTGCAGATAAGATTAGCTCGCCATGTTTCCATATGCGGCAATGTGTGAGCTTCCGGCTGTGCTACATTTCACAAGAAAACCCGGCACTTCTATTCTTTGCAATTACATCTTTTGGGTTTTGTAGCTAACTGGGGGTTAACAACATCTAACATTTAAAATACAAGACCATCCTGAGCAAGAGCCTGTCTCTACTAAAAATAAAATAAAACAATGTTAATTCTTCCAAGAAAAATATTTATCACCAAAGTTGAAGAACATAGCTCATCTAATCTAGTAGTTTTCATGTTAAACCAGGACGAGTTCATTTAAAGAAAATGTACAAAATTTCACTGGGCGAAAGAGACAAATGAGCTCCCACAGGGAGGAGGGAATAACAGGTGATCTGCCCTCCACCCCGACACTTTTGCTGGGTCTTTTTCTACTCCCCTATCCTGTCCTATGCCTTCAATGCTGAAGGAAAGTTAAGGTACACGTAGCTAGAAAACTCGTCCAATTTACTTATTTTACTCATACGGAAACAAGGACCTGAAGGCATTCCATGGCTTAACCAATCTACCCATCTGTGTACACACATGATGCCCTGCACTGCTGGACTCCCAAGTCATCCCACTGGGCTTCTCTCCCTTAGAATCAGAGAGACAAATCCTGAACATAACAGAAATTAGTTGTGGTTAATATGGAAGCCTCTGCTCCCTCAAATTTTTTTTACTCTGAAATATGAAGTTTCCTTCTATGGCTCACCAGCCAAAAACTGCGCCGATTTGAGCTGAGTATGTCTGACTTCTGAAGTCTGGGATTGATTGACATTGTTTACAAATGTGTCCTTTAACGAGGCCCCATGTAAAATTTGAAATAGTGGAAAGAGAGTAGAGTTGACTGAGAACTCAGATGCAATGTTAACAGGCAAACTTTTGTTACACAGAAACGGCATAATTTGTCAAGAGAAAACAGTGTAGATTTGAAATGTCAGTGGATTTCATGAGGGGCAACTCTGGAAAAACGGGATAATATCTTGAAAGTATTTCTCCCAGAGTGTCCTTAAGGGTTAGTTATTTATGAAAAAGCCATCATGCTTCCCCACTGTGCCCCAGTGGACACCACAGATGCCACATTCTTTTTTCATTTATGAAACAGAGGGGAAGGAGAGAGAATTGATTACATTTCATGGAAACCCTTATGTCCATCTGAGTGAGAAAGGAAGCCCGGTAGTTTTATGATTCCATGATAATAAACATAGAATATCACAGCCGACTGGGGGGTCATTTGGTTAAAACTAGTAAGTGAAAGCTATTTTCACCCAGATAGGATCAGAATTTTATCTTAAAACCTGGGGTTTATTAGTACTTTATAGAGTGACTAGGTTAGGTATTTTCTATAGCCCGATTACATGAGGCTCCACCTGACTCACACGAATTTTAACTAAGCATTACAATTATTATGAATTGAGCTGACTGTTTACTTGCCAAATAAATTGTGAACATTTGATTTGACCAAAGCATTTCAAGAATTCGGCTCCTTTCCATTTCTACCACACACAACCAAAAATATTGGTGAGAAGACTGCCTTTTACCTTCTAAGAAGTGAGTCCCCTTCATTTGATTGCTATAATTAAAAACTATATTTTGAATTTGCTCATCTCAAAATATCCTATTTGTTAGATGAATTTATGCAAAAACATTCTGAGAAAGAACAGTATCAATGAAAACTGGCAATGACACTGTAATAGGTACTATTTTTTGAGAGTTTCTTTCTCAAGTATAGTGCCAAGGGCTTGGTGCATTTTTTAACCCAGTTCTATAGAGATCATGAACGCTGACAGACAGCTAAGATTAGAACGTGGATGTGGTAGGTAGTACCCCATGTGCTACGATCTGTACCTCTACTATCTATACTTCTTTTAAACTCCATTTGGTATGGTTTTGTACCCAGGGAATGCTGATATTATTGAAAACTGTTACTGAGACTATCCAGAACGATTCTCACCTTAGACCAGTCACCCATTCGCCACACATAGCACTTTGAATAATCCTCACAGTCCTCGGCCTCCCTGGGTCTGGTAGAGAGCACACACTTTTTTCTTGGGTTCGTGCACCTCACTGTCCGGTGACGGACGCCTTTGCCACACTTGACTGAGCACTGGAAGATAACATCAGAGAGATTAGATACAGTCGGGGATTAGGAGATACGCGTATAGACTGTGGATCAAATAATGGTAAGTACGGGTTCTCAATCATCAGTCATAAGCCTACCAGCCATATAAAAGCCAGGGAAATTAATAAAAAAAAAGTTTAAAGGTAACGCCAGTCTAAACACCAGTACCAGAGGCCAGCTGGAGCTAAAGGTAGTGCTGGGGATAGGTGGTTTCAGGAATGATCGAAGATTATGGAGAATAGTATAACACAGGGATTCTGTAAGAAAGACAGGTAACATACAATGAACAAAATGTAAATTACTAAAATCGATATCAAAATTTTCATACAATTATTAAAGAAATTGAAGCTATTTTTGCTAAAATTTACTTTTTTTTTTTTTAGCGTGAACCAATGTTTGTGAAGAATAACAAATTTTCATAGGCCCATCATTTCTCACGAATGTTTCTTAAAGCTAAAATTGGGAAAATCTTACCAAAAATAAAATGAAGAATTTCTTAACATAATTATTATATATACCCTTAGAGGCCAGGCATGGTGGCTCACGCCTGTAATCCCAGCACTCTGGGAGGCCTAGGCAGGTGGATCACCTGAGCTCAGAGGTTTAAGACCAGCCTGAACAAGAGTGAGAACCCGTGTCTACTAAAAATACAAAAACAAGCTGGGCATTGTAGTGAAGGCCTGTAGTCCCAGCTACTCAGGAGGCTGAGGCAATAAGATCTCTTGAGTTTAAGGGTTTGAGAGTGCTGTGAGCTATGACACCATAGCACTCTACTCTGTCTCCCCCACCAAAAAAATGTATATGAATATATATATATATATATATATTTTTTTTTTTCCCCCCTAGAAATCATTGTTCTGTATGGATTGAAAATATAATTTAATTCAAAATTAGTTTAGTTAATTTAATAAATAATTGACATAGAACGGATGCTGGTGACATAATGGATTGAAGCATGCATGTGTATTCCAGTCACTCCTCCAGGTTCAATTTACTCTCTCATTTACATTTCTCCTCCAGAGTGTGGAATATGCATAAAGCTCCCTGTTTTCTAAAGGCAGGCATCACTGACGACCCCCACAAGGCAGGCATCACTGATGACCCCCACATGGAGACCCAAATCACATCGAGTGTGAGGAAAGCTGTGCAGCATATCGCAAAACTTGAAAGTCCAATCTGTTTGTGTCCGGAAAAGGTCCAAAGGGATTGCAGGGTACGTTCAGCAATAATGTCGTGTACAAATAAGCATGTTGATTCCAAAATCACTGCTCCGAGCCACAGTGGCAGGCGAAGCTGCATTGACCTCCCTGCTCGCGTCATAGGCTTGGGAACTGTTGTGGTCCTGAACACTTGAGCACAGAGCTAAACGATCACATGGGGATTTGCCATTTTAATATTTGTATTTTTAATTGTTGCAAATGAAACTACCCCTGACTGATAAAATCATGTTTTAAATTAAATCCAAATAAAAGAGACATTTTTTAATGGGCATAATGCATTATGACATGTTATTTCATCCAGCTGCTGCCAAAAATCCGTGTAGTAGAATATTTGTGGACAATTTCCTCCCAAAGAGTTGGCAAAAATGTTCAAGTTGGGCTGGGGCTGGGGCATTCTGTTTCTCTAACGGCTCATGTGAATCTTCTCTCTAGATTGAACTGATGCATTTGGATGTAAAATACGCCATGGTATTTATTTTCAAAAGTCCACATTATCGATGACAATCTCTTAAACAGCAGTGAACAAGTCCGAAAAGAGAACAGAGACTTGGGCTATTTGCGAATGAGCTTTGGAGGTGGGTCAGGTTCACTGAAGAACTTTTAGAAACTACGCTACCTAAGCCACTTTATCCTAATTTTCAAAAGAGTGGCTTCCTACTTTAGCACAGTATTTTTTTACTTATCATTTTTACATCCCATCCAATATTCTGTAATTGAGTACACAGAGCACTGTTTCTGCCCCGTGCGTTTGGGTGTGGCTTTGCACATCTGTATGTTTCTGGGGCATACGTGAGTGCCCACACACTCACCTAAAATAACTCAGGGCTGTCTGTAAACATAGCAACCAGTGGTTTTCATTATGATGCAAAGATACGCATCCTGATACCAGACAGTAATCACTCTGGTTTGGCATGAGCACACACTGTAGGCTATATGCGAGCTGGGGTCAGGAGCTTGGGGCTGCAGTGAGTTAGACAGTCTTGAGTTCAAAGACAAACTCCATCACATGGATCAGATTTAGGGTAAGCTATTTAAATTCTCTTAGCTATATTGCCCTCACTTGCCACATATAAAGTGATGAAAACTTAAATTTCTTTTGTTGGTTAGTTATTAAATGGAAATAATAGTGCAAATATGAAGTAAAACACTTCATGCTCACATAGAATAATTTTTAAATATTAATTTTCTTTCTTCTTTCCCTTTAAATGTTCATAGATATGTGATGAATCAAATGTTCATTTTAATGTGTCCACTTAAGAGTGCACTCATAAGCTCAGC